GACATAGGATATTTAAAAACCTTTGATATATCGATTCCTATTGGGTATGGTGTTTGAGAAGGTTCTCCTAGTTTTTTCAAGAATTTGCCTGATGAAAACCTTTTGTACAATCAGTGTAATTGAACTTACCTTTACTGTCATAAATCTGCACACAATGATGTTTGAAATCCGTAATGTAGATGTTATTTTCATACCAAGCTACATCACTGGCCTCGCCCAAATGAGCTGACGCATCGAACCAATGGACAACACAAACGTTATCGATATCTTAAATTATATTATTAACATTCCGTAATGTTCTGAACGATTCACCTATCTCGAAAACACAACCACCCGTATCAACTAAGATCAAATGACCATTAGCAGCACAAGTTGCCGCATTGACATCAATTCCTTCTCGAGATACAAGAACTGGTAGGCTTACTCCTTTTGAGAATTCTCCCTTGCCATCGAAAATTTGAGCTCTTGTTTTTCCATCTGATCCTTTATCCAGTACAACATAACGCGCTTTTTCTCCCTTCAGAGCTACCACTTTCTTCGGAAAGCAAAGCATGCCATCTCCCTGAGAGCAGAGTTTCAGATTGTTCGAGGAAAATGACTCACTGTTCCTGGTCTTCCTATTTTCCACGGACAAGGTGGTCCACAAACAGTAACACGATGGTTGTTGGTGTCAGCAATCAAGATATCATCAGTTTCAGAAAGACAGAAACCAGAAGGACAATGTAGTTCTCGTATGCTGGAGCCAGGAGCACTTGTTCCGAAAACACTGGAATGCAAACGAATTTGTTAGAATTTTCTCCGCATTCAACGTACCTATGGATTTTCAGTTCAGATACACGAGCAGATTCCTGCGGAGAAGTTCTTAGACCTACTCCAGGACCCTCTGAGGCTATGTTACCCATGGAAAGGTTTCCCAAACCATTGAGAAGAACCTGATCAACATGAGAACTTGCAAGTACCACTCGATTTTGTAAAAGAAGGTTATTAACACTACTTGGAACGTTAGATGGTCCATTCTGATTAGGCAATTGCATTATCAATGCCGCAACCTTAGAATAAAACTTATTGGAATGAAAATAAATTATCTGCGAACCTTTTGTCTCAGTTGTGCGTTGTTGAAATCAACTGCAGCGGATTTCGTAGAACTGGAAGGCCATTGATAGTTGTTGTAATGAAATTGGGTATTCTTCAACGTTTCGATTAAAAACACAAAGGAAAGTTGACACGTACCAATGAAGGAGATGGAGCACCCATATTGTTTGAACGATTACTTGTAGGTAATGGGATCGGAGTCAATAGTTCTTTCTGAATTAGAGGAGCAACATTCATAGTAGGTGAAGGTGCATGCAAATCCGGAGGATTACTACATGGGGGCCAACCAATGAATGCGTCAGAAGAACTCCTCATCCTGAGAAAATAAATAATAGAAGACGGGATTAGGAGAGATTTCGTTACGTTTTCTTTCTTTCAGTTCCTATCGCTCCCAGGTACATAGGTGCTTGACCATTGCTCTGAGGCCTTCCCCAATCAGTACTATCTTGGGAAGCTCTCGGATGATCAGCCACAGAGGCAGGAGCAATGGATGACGCCATTGGAACAACGGGTGCAGCTTGAGGAACTTGTTCCTTAACAGAGGCAGTGACCATTCTTCCTGTAAGAGTGAGATCAGAATTATGTGTAAAAATAGCAAACCTACCAACAACCACTCCGCTCAACAAAGCTATGTATGCATCTACCTTTTTCTTTGGAGGCGGTTGAAACTCTAATTCCGACTGAAAAAAACATTCATGAAAGAGGACTTTTAAGTGAAAAATGAATACCTGGATACCCAATGCAGGCATAGTATGCGATAAGTTGTTCAACTGTTGTACGACTTTTTTCCGACTAGCTAATAACTCCAAGCCCGTAGCTTTTTCTAAGAGACGATGAGTGAAACTGAAAGTTGATATTTATAACGAGTAGTTTGATTAAGATGAACCTTAAGGCGTCATTTACTCTCGACTCGGTCAAGTTCATTTTTCTGTACAAATCCTCGATACAGTGTTCTTGTTTCTGCCTAGCATCCTCCAACTCATTCAACTAAAAATCACACTGAACATGAGTTTCACGTTTAACACAAACCTTCGCTGCGCATGCTTCTTCTAGAGCTCTCATATGCTCATCAAACGTTTGTTCGACTCGAGCTTTGGCAATTTCGAATTGGTTATTCAGGGTAGAGGCACGGTCAGGAATAGCACTCCATTCATTCATTGACTCTCGGAACTGGGAGAAGATAAAAAAAAAAGTAAAAATTTGACTCATACCTTATTATCTACCCGACCAGCTAAGTTTCTAATTTCATATTGAATTGCATTCACAACTTTTTCATTAATATCAATGACCTAAACAGTAATGTGAGGAGATCTGTAGCATAAAGTGTACTGACCTTATGTCTCACATGATCATTTCCTAAGCAAGTTTTACATGCTAAGCCCTCACAGGTAGTGCACAAAAAACGAAAAGGGACCAGATGAACAGGGCAGCAAACGGCTCCTGTTTCTATTTCTTCAAATGACTTTTCGAGTTCATCATAGCTCAAAGTCTCGTGTCGGTCAAACATCCTCATAACTCCATGAGCTTGAAGGCAGTTTGAACACAAGTCTGCTTGACATTGTTTGCAAAATGCAACAGCCAGCTGTTCGCTTTTACAAGTGCGACATCTCTTCTCTCCTCGAGTTTCTTCATTACCATTAACACGAATCTGTAACTGAGATTATCGTGCATGCTGATAACACTTTCAGCTTACATAATCTAATAACATTGAATAAACATGGCGAACATCATTTCCGACGTGTGATTCCTGCATGCAAATGGGACATCTGATAACTCCTGGAGGAGTGGGTCTTTCGACAACTTGAAAATTATTGTTAAAAGTGATTTTGAATTGAAAATACTTTTTGGCGTCTCTAATTCGCAATCTGTAGAGTTTCTAGGAGTTTTCTCATTTTCATTAGGAACATTTTTTTTTCCGTCTAACTGTGCAATAATGCAATCTTCACACATAGAGTGCAAGCAATCGAGAACACGAGGCTGAAAAATAACTGGGTTTGAGCTTTGACAGATTTAAAAAACCTTTCTGAAGTCCTTATGACAATAAGAACATTGCGTTTGGTCGTCAAGAGGTAATGGCTCAGTCCCTAGTAGAGGACTAGAAGCACCGGATCTAAACAAATATAATCCATTTTATTACTTTTCCAATGATAAACCTCCATTCGTCAAATTCCTCATTTTCGCCTTTCAAACTTGGCGCGGGGCTGTTTGATTCATATTCATGTAGACTGGCTGGAGAATCAGTTTCCCCTTTAATATCACCCATGACTGGGTGTCAAAAAAATAACCTAAGATAAAAATTGCGAGAATTTTTTTGAAGTTTTGAAAGAGAATTTAAGCACGTGAGAAGAACGTAAAAACAAGAAACAAATAAAGGAAAACGTATATCAGATTTCAATCTAAAACTTGAATATTCTAGACAATGACAAATACTTTGATGTCTTCTTTCAAATTTGGTTTTGTATATTCATCAATGAAATTTCTATTAGTTTTATATGCGAAAGTCTTGCATTTTTTTAATGAACAAGAGTCGGTAAAACATGAGAGTTTTTCGTGACGTCACACACCTAACTTTGCCTGCGTATAAAAGCATGTGCAATGCGTTAAATACTCAGTTTACTGCCGGGGTTAAAATAGTCCCAACGCGCCATTATCCGGTTAGTTTTTTTTGTTATATATATGATATAGTTAAGTTTATTGTTAGAGAATTGTTTTGAATCGAGAAAGCTGTAGTAACTGGAAGAATTAAATATTGAATGATATGGCTGCAACGACAGAGCAAGAAAAAGAAGGCTCGCCTGTAGCTAAAGTGCCTCGACTAGATATGAAGCAAGCATTTAGGTTAGTGCATGTATTGAAAAGTGTCTATAGAAATACAAATCAGGATAAACCCAATACTACATTATGATATTGAACGGATTGAAACACCATTAGAACAATTTTATGTAGTAGAGTTACAGAACAAGAAAGACATTGGCAAGATACTAACATTTGCACCAGAAATAGATACTGCTTTCAATCATTTGAAAAGGGTAGATAAAACAGGGAGGGTTTTGATACAATCAGCAGAATCAAGACTAGAAAATGATGTCAGAGAATCTTTACTGAGTAAATCAGAAGGTTCACGAATAGAAGTAAGAGGCAGATCTTATTTCTATTTGGAATATTATATGTTTAGGTAGCTTCGGTTCCCAAGTTGAAACCCATTACTCGGAGACAATTCGACTGGGCGAAACAGTATTGGTCAACTTCTTTCCATCCCAACAAGGTAAAAGAGATCAGGAATTCTCTTAGACTGAACAAACATATCTAGGAGACAGAAGAGTTATTAGACGGAGGATATTTTTGCTATGAAAAGTCGAATTATGTGAGAAAATGGATTAATGTTGCTAATGATGCTGGCTGTGTTGTGGTGCAGGTTCGCAACTTGCGAAGACCAGAGACTAATAAAAGTTCCAGAACGGACAAGAACTTGCGAGAGGATCACAGGGAACCAAACTACTTTCACACCCTGTCATGAATATGGTGGAAATGCTCGCCAAAATGGAAAGAGAGCAAAATGATTACTTGGCAACAGGATGTGATGTGTTCCTTCGTAAAGAACCATGTGCCATGTGTTCGATGGCACTCGTACATTCTAGAGCACATCAGGTGTTTTTTATTGAAGAACAACCAAGAGGAACTTTAGCCAAAGGTTAGAACTATGAAAAACGTTTCTGATATTTAGCAGCTTAAAGGTCATTGGCAGTTGCATTTGGAACCAAGTATTAACCATCATTATAAAGTTTTTCAAGTAGAACTTTGACCAAACTTTCGGAAGACTGGGTTGTTTGTTGTTATGCCACATGAGAAATAAACACTTTGAAACGTATACGATTATATTTCTTTGTGAATTCTATTATTCACAAAAAAGCCTTTCTTTCCATTATTCATCGAGAAGGTGATATAAGAACGTCAACGATCCGGATTAGGAACGAAAGTTTTTATGGTGATCAGCAGGATCTTCTCCATAACCTGATGGGAATCAACGATTCACCTAGGATATCCCATCATTGTGTATCTTACATCCACAAGAGAATAGTCACAATATTTTATACATTTTTATCCAACTCTCTCAAACTTATACTTCCAAGTATTAATCCAAAACGTTAGTTCCAGACAATGCGTGCTATTACAATCGTTTGTCTACTCTCATCAATTGCTTACACAGGTACTGATTTTTGAAAATAAAGTTTCAAACATCTTCAATTTTCAATTCAGCTGCACAAATCAGTGCGATGTTTGGAAATCCTATTCAAGCCCAAAATTGTGAATCTTGGTCAGAATGGGGTCCCTGCGTCTGGTTAAAAGGAAAAGAGCCGAGGTTGAACAAAATTTACTAATCAAACTGAACAAATTAATTTGTAGATGGCAACGCAGTTACTTTGACCAGCTTCTTCCTGGCCGAAAAGGATGTAGACAGCACGTCTTCTTCCGTCTTTTGAGCGACCGCTGGGGCGTTGTAAGTAGTTTTAACAACACTCAATCCCATAAAAAGTACTTGAAAGCTTGTATCTAACAAAAAAAAGATTTCAAAAAATGGACATTCCCTTTCATCAAGAACGTCCATAACCCCATTGAAACAGGATGCACCGAGTTTGTCATTGTACAAATTTGAGATGAAAAACGTCTAAGATTTCCTAATGCGATTTTTCAACAAATCCGATTAGCTGTGTTGCTTTAGGACAAAATTTCCCGACACTTTCGATATGATCCATCTTATCATTATAATTCATCTTTCTTACTACACATCCTTTCCACACTCTGACCCTATTCATACCAACCGCCAGAGGTTTAAAGGAAAAAACGGGACAATGCTAAACGGTTTGATGAAACGGAAAAGATAACAAAAGCCTTTGTAAAATTAATCCTCTAGTAGGTAGCAACGTCAAGAAGTACAAATTTGAAAAACAAAAAAGAAAAACTAACCTGAGAGACGGATTCAAAAAAAACGCACCAAATGCAACCGCTCTGCAGGAGTGCTGATTCAAAAATGACCGCGCGATTTTTCAGTGAAAGTTCACGTGACGTAATCATTAGAATAGAGATAAAAATCGATAACATAATAAGATTAATAATCATGCAACACTTAAAATTTCAGGCTTTTAACAACTTCTACAACTATCTCAGAGATATAACTTTAAGTGAGACACAATGCGGAGAATGCTCTTATCAACAAAGTTGCGGACGCTCATGTCATAGAAGGTAAACCCAGTCATGGTACATTGTCTATTGTTTTATTATAGAGGCGATGTTTCCGTTATCAACCCACTTTTCGTGGCAGAACGTAAATGTCATGGTGTTGATCAAAATAGGGTTTGAATCCAAAATTGAGGGTGTTAAAATTCATTTTTTTGTTTTGTATAGGCTTGTGTTTCCAAATTTGTTCCGGATTGTAAGCTTTGGCCCAATCCCGCTATTAAACTTCCAAATGTAACTGAGAGCATGCAAGCTATTGTGGATGGATTAGACTATTTAACCTGCGTTCCGGAACATAGGTAAAGGCATACTTTCTCTCTTAGTCACACCATTATCTATTTTTCTCTGGCCTACAATATTCAGTTTATCAACTCACTTATCGTTAGCCATAATGAGTAACGTCCTTCCCTTTTTCAGAATTTCATCTGTCTAATCTCTTTTGAAACGAATAGAAAAATTGAATGCTCATTGCAGCTCCCTACAAGAAAATGAAAAAAAAGACATTTCAATGTCAATTTTCGTCGTCAATATCGTTTAGATGATCCAGTAACAAGCTAAGGGCTTGTCAAACATCTTACTCTTCCCCTCAATGGATAATTTATTTCCTTTTTTTTCTCGTACAAGGCTCATCGAAGCTACTAGGCTAGTATTTTGACAATTTCTTGCCAACTAATTATTTAGAACACAAAGGGTAGCCAACCTTCCTCTACATGTTCTAATAACTTTTTTTTTCTCAAAAACTATAAAAAGCAATTGAACTAAGACAAACATCACTCACTTCATTAATCAATTTTCTCCCGAAACCCCGATAAAAATGTAGAAAAGCTAGTATGGGTGCTTCATATGATACATGAAATATTCTTTTTACCCTTGGGTATTGCTTGTTCTGTCCTCATAAGCCCTTCAGCTAATTAAGTCGGAAACGGCAATGACCTCTTCATTGGGTAATTTCGTTAAATAAAATGGAAATATTTACCAAATTATAATGTGAAGCCCAATATATGTATAGGCTTTTCTGGCACAAGTTATAGTTCTAGAAAGATACTATTAAGCGGTCAATTGAAAATGTTTTTTCATTTCAGACCTGAAGGATCAATCTGCCGATGCTGTTGTCACCCATACACTCCTAATCCATCGACATTCGAGTGCGAACTGAAACCTTATTTGGGCAAATAGTGATTCCTGCTCCTAATTTATTATTCTAATTATTATTAAACAATAAAATTTAATATTCTTGATTTCTTGTTCATACAGATATTCTCGATTGCAGATCGTTACCAAATTTCAGTTTTTCACCAATTTAGATCGAAACCGACAACTCTTTCAACATGTCAAAACTCTACTTTCCAATGTTGCTCCGCCTTCCTCGCATCTAAGCTCCGCCCACATTTGCCTCAGGCTTTCTCGGCAATTCAATCCTCAGTTCAACTTTGTACGTTCTTCACCCTACACAACCAATTTTCTTTCATAAAATGGCTGATTCTGCTGCTAACGAGGCCCCTGCTTCTGCCCCTGCTGCTGAATGCCAGGGTACACCAAAGGTAGTTTTCAAAATATAATTCTGAACTCGAATCAATGCTTCATCTCAGCGGCAAAAGAAATAAGAATACAACATTATAGCTTTATATCTTGACTCATCTCCCTATCTCTTTCTGTTTCTCTCAACATGCGGCATTTCCCTTTTCGGCTTTAAAGCTGAAATGAAATTCATTTGATCCCAATAGAACAATTTTGAGCAGAAGATATGTCGTTTAGGAAAAATATATGTGAGTCTCAAACACGAGCCTTCTACTTTTGGAAAATGGGAAATTCGAGTCATCTTGATACCTTCAAAATTAAAATTTCATTAGTATATCTTATTCTGTCATTGAGACGACCTAATAGGACACTTGACGCAGGAATGAAACTATCTTGTTGTTTCAAACATTGCTCTTCTAATTTGAACGAACTGTCTCGGCTTCCAGTGTTTTTCTAACAAGAAGTAACCTGTGGACATATTCCATAAATGGCCAATGGCTGTCGTCAGTTCTTGGTTCTTTGGCCATTTCCCTTCCTTATTTTCTTTTTGTCCTCTCCCATGTGCAACGCGGCCGAGCTCTCCCTTTTCTATCCCATTTCATCTACTATTCCTAACAAAGCAATTGCAAAGGTTAATAGAAAGCATACCTTTAGAAATGACAATTGTTCCGCCATTTTAGTCGTCACCTGGGATATTTAAATTTGAATGTTAGGTTCTGCAAGTCATCATGTTCGAAAAGAAACTCACTTTAAAGAACAATAGTCTTTCGCCTTTACAAGAAATGACAATAAGTGAGAGATGATATATATATATCAACAAGCAATGTTCGTATTACAATTTTGTGCTTGAAATTATCATATTCCTTATTTGTATATTGAACGAGACAATTTAAAATCCATTCAACCCGATGGACGAGAAACGATAGCAGCTCTCTCCCATATTGCTGTCCAGTGAATTAGAATTCCGCTCTTGAACTCTTTGCAATAGTAATAGAAAGAAAAAAAACCTTTCCTATGAAACACAATGTAATTTAGAGAGAAATTGAGTGAAACCAACTGAGTGAGGCAAAATCCAATGGCCTTTAATACACTCACTAACTGTCTTCTCAGCTCCTCTTTCACATTCTTTTCGCCAATGCCAACCAATTCTCCCTAGCAGCATTGAGCGCGGAGCAGCTAGCTATCCCTTAAAAATAAACAAAATACACAATAAATTCCTCACCAAACTATTATCAAACTTTTTTCCATTTCAGCGCAATCTTAACACTCAACAACGTCTGTTTGGAGCCGATGATGCCAAGCCAACGCCTAAAAGAGTTTGTTTCTTTACCAATTTGTTTGAAAACAATTTGTCTCAATCAAATTATTGGAGACTAAAACAATCGAAAATTAGCATAAACCAGCGTCTGCTCAAGTCCGCAACACGAAAATCATTTTAAAAGCAGCAGACGCACAAACTGGTTGTACATCAGACAGCAAAAAAAAAATTTGGTATACTTTGCTGAATGACCAGGAACATTCATCTAAACTATAAATAATCTTCGAGTAATTCACAAAAAAAATGATCTTTCAGAACACACCAACTTATAAGTCATCCATCTTCTCTGAAGAAACTCCAGCTTCACCTCAACGAACCCCAAAGAGAACAATCCCAACTCTTGGTGAGTTTTTAACATCAAATTTTCTGTTTGGCATCATGCTCAACAAAAACATTCTCATTCAACCCATCAAGCTGAAATATTAGGAACCGGTTGTTATTAATCATGGCCTTAACTGCTTAGCTACAAAGCTGAAACATTGCTCGAGTTCTAGTAGTTTGCATGGTACTTTGACCATCATCTTTCCTGAATTCTTAAGCTTTTTTTTCTTCATAACATTACTTACTTGCCTTCCTGTTTCTCCCATTCTGCCATAAGACATCAACGTGTGAATAGCCACATAGCATTACGTAAAAGTCGTTTTTTTCTGCCTTCCTTCGCTTCCCAAATACTCTATTATTCATTGCCATCAGTGTCCAATATATTTCCTGAGCATTTATCTCAGTGGTAGAAGTAGAGTGAAAAACACAGCTACAAGTCTTTTTGAACGTTTGTGTCTTTTACTTCAAAGCTCATTCGGGAAATTGGCAATAGAGCACTCTTCGATCCTACCAATGTTTATTTGGAGGGTGAAGTATCCAAGAATGTTTTGTTTTTCCAACAAATACATATATAAAATGGGTTCTTTCAATAAAAAAAAGTCATAGCAGAGTAGGGTTATGTCCTTCATGTGTGTTGTTCAGCTCCAAAATAACGTACATGCAACAATGTTTACCAAATGAACTTAATTAAGTCTCCAGGAAAGGTACTTTCCATTTCCGACTGCCAGCTTCTCTCTTTTATGGAGTTGAATGGTTTCAGTCAATACCAACGTCTTCTAGGTCTTTATGTCATAATTTTTTGTTTCACGAAAAAACTCTAAAATATTTGTTTTCCCAAAGAACATATGTCAAACAGCCGTTCTTGACTCGCCTAATATAGTAGAAAAAAACTTTAAAGAAGATTAGCTAAGCATATATATATGAGAAGGCTTTGAAGCAGCCTTGGCTCTCCAGCAGATCCGACAGATGACGAATGGCCCTGAGGGATGAGTAGGAGACTTCAGCATTATCTCATCCAAACAGCATCTACTAGAATTTGGTGTCTTTTGGTAAAAGTAAAAGTTGATGGGAAGACGATAGAAGCTCAATTTGTCAATTATTTTTTTCCCATTTGTTGTTAGAAGTTGGTTTTGACCAGAAACTGCTTGCCGTAGAATAACTAATTTAATTAGACCATTTCTTCGGTTTTTCCTTACTTAACTATTCACAGCAAAAGCTGATCTCATTTCATTATATCTTTTTATGAGCTTTTATAGTTTCCTTATACTTCAATTTATTTTTCCAGCAAGAAATCCAATCACCGGGGAGATCAAGACTATTCAACCAAGCCAATCACAACAGCAAATTTCCGTCTAAAGAAGTTCAATCCGTTCTAAATGTCTACAATCCCTTCCTCCACTTCCCCTATAACTATCGCTAATTTCTATTAAGAATGTTCAGTTACTCGGCCAGTGCGATTTAAGCTTCTCTTTAATTTCGCTAAACGCTAGTAACCGCCTGGACAATCGACGTCTGAAAGCTTCCCTATATAATAAGAATTTTATAATCAACTGTTACTTTTCCCTTTTAATATTATTTTAATAAAAATGTTTTTTTCTGCTTGTGTACAACAACGAATGTATTTGAAGCAAAGCAGGCTTTCAGAATATTGAAGATTAGACACCAGCTCAACCCAGCAAGTTCTAGAACAGATTCTGATTGCGACCAGCTCAGAGCTCTCGACAATCCATAAACTCGAGAAGAAATAAGTTGAAAGGGAGAAAAAGGCACAAACGTGGATATCTGTGTCTAAATATATATGGCTAGATATCCATTTGTGGGAATTTCGTTTACTCATTAAATACAATCGACACATTTGTTAGCAGCAAGCTGATCCTCTTCGTTCCAATGAATTCACTCGAATTTCACTAAATCTTTTCAGCTTCATAATTCATTTTTCCACAAAGTATACAATTGTGTTTCTGGAATGGAGGAAAATTGTTTATAAAACTACAGAATAAACCTTAAGCGGAACATAATCATCTCATCTAAATGCTTGTTTTTTCATTTTCGGACAACACAAATTGCTGGTAACAGCCTCCAGATTTTAAATATTCTATACGATTCTTGAAATCAGAAGTCTCATATTTCGAACTGAAAAAATCCAAAACATCAATTCACAAACGGAAATAGTTCCCCCCTATAAATTCGAGGTTTCTCAATGGATGTGGAAGTCTCGTTTTTTTTGCAAATTTAGAATTCTGAATATGTTTTTGTTTCATTGCAAGTCTCAAATCATGAGGCTATTCATCTGTAAAGTAGAAATGAAAATTACTATCAAACCACCACACGTTCGAGCATGTCAAGAGCTCTCCAAGACATCTACTCTTGATGAGTTATGAGTGTGACTTGATCATGTTCAAGTTTAAGTTAGCCGTGGAGCAACATCATTTGCTATACACGGATGTTGCGCTCAGTTAAGTCTCTTTCCCCATACGTAGCCGCTGTCCTTATCTGTTTTTCATATTGTCACTGGTCAAAGGTTTAGGAGGCGTTATCCAGAAGAGGTGTCCAAGAAAATAATCTTATCAGACTCGTAATATTGATAAAAAAATATATAATTCAGTAAAACTTGTAGATTAGATCGTTCGGCTACACATCAAATGTTTCACTTATCAGCTGTTGTTCAGTGATTCATTGATCTCATGGAAAATTTTGTTTTTTTCTCCTCCGCTTTGAAGAAAATTTTTTTTCTTGGAAGAGACAATGTTGATGTGTTGTTTTATAGATTTACAACGTGAAAAAAAAGAAGTTTCATATGCAGCAAGAGAAATCTTCAATGAAACGTACATCAGTCTTATCTTGCTGCAGGAAAAAAAAACGAAAATTTACTACATTGAGAAGGACAGTAGCTGGTTGCATGAAGTAACAGAATACATTTATTAAACATTGATTTAACAAGCTCAATTTGAGATATATCCCTGAATATCATTAATATTTAAATCAAATCCTGAGGTTCGAAACCTGAGTTCAATCATTTAGACTTTCATAAAAGCCAGAATTGATACATATAAAATATAATATGGAATGTATACATTATACAATATTATGACAGTATTATTAAAAATCCAACTCTCTAGATTTGCGTACTTTACATCTACGAATGTGACGACCTAAGACCGTTGGTCCTGCGAATAGATCCCCGCAATATTCACATGCAAGACGGTTCTCTGAAATGTTTTGAGAATTATCTAAAGGCTAAAAATACAAAACGAACTGTGATGCATTCGAGAAATATGATGACAACGATCAGATATTGTTTTGAAGAATTTGTGACAATGCTCACATCGATATTTCACTTCACTTTGATGTACAGTTTTGATATGCAATCGACATCTGCAAATAAGATAAATGTTCGGTTTCAAAACGGAGCTGCAACTCACCTTTCAGCTGTTGCGAAGTATCTTTCACACTGTTCGCAAGTGAATGGTTTAAAGCCTGTATGACTCCTCAAATGTCTAGCAAGGATATAGCGTCGAGCATACACGTGCTTTTTCTTTCGACACCCCCGCCAACCGCAGATAAAAGTCTTCAAATCCAAATGGGTATCTGACAAACAGACGATCATAGCTGAATTGAAATGCTCTCCCTACTCAAATGCTCATCTAATTTTTGGGGTTCCCTAGTATTGAACGTACAATCTTTCCAATGGCACTCGAACGTATCGAATTCTAACCCATTCTGAATTGATAAGAATGAAAAGTAAAAGTGAGCTCAGAACTAACCACTAGAGGATCTTCCTTCTCATTTGCTTCTATTTCATCTTCAATTAAGCTAGTATACTCGGCTTGCTGTTAATAATATTATATATCAAAAGCTTTGAAACATTTCATCAAACCTTGGGAACTTGAAAAGCATAGTCATGCTCAACCATGCTCTCTTCGAGTTCATTTGGACCAACTCTATGGTAATAGTTATGCGTGGAGTGGACAAGCCTGTCCACATTGCTACTACTCAAGTATGAGTGATCACTTGTATCCGGACATATCCACACATCCTAAAAAGATGAGATCAACCTGGTCAAACTTCAAGTAACAAACAGATTCTTCTGTCAGTAAATGTTCTGTGTCCAATCCATAATAGGTCGCAGAGTTCAAATCGTATAAACAATCACTTTCCATGCACCTGAACGTTAGAAGTCAACGAATGTGAGGGGACATAGCAAAAAGTATGGAACGTTGTTGAACGTTAACAGAGAGAACATGTGAACAAAAGATAATTCAATTAAGTTTTTAATTTAATAAATCGTTTAACACATCATCAGCAATTCAGCAGTCAACCAATATGAATTGGAATGTGTGAACGGAATCATTGAAAGGATATGTTAAGGAAGAGCAATTCTTCTGAAACATAATATGTAACAAATAATCATACATAGCATAGAAGAATCATCTAAGTAATTACTATCTAGGACAATTTGGTTATATGAGGAGAAATCTTCTTCCTGGTCAATCGCAATGACATTAGGAATGGTGGGAAAGCGCAAAGTAATACAACATTCAGAACTATCTGGAATTGTAAACATTTAATTTTTCAGTCATCCCTAGATGTAGGCTCACCGATATTATGAACAGTATCAAAGCGGAGTTATGTGTTCTACTACACGACGCTGGACATTGGAAATGAGGAACGAGAGCAAGGGAACTTTGAGCTAACTAAAATAGAAATTTTAGATTCATCAGCAGATATATTTGATATATTTTGTAAAAGCTGAATGGATTTAGATTGGCCGCTTCGTGCAACATCAAAATTAGCATAGTGACTCCAGGTTTCGAATTAGCATATCATTCACGTAACGTGAGAATCATTTATGCATCGAAAAGCCCTGCAGAACGGTTGCTCTCTCTAAGTCTAACTTACATCCGTGACTCGCTTGTTCACAACGTCTGAAACTTTTGTTACAGTGTCCTCAGACAAAATGTCATTCGGCGTTCGTTGAGCAAGGAATGATGCTTTGATATCAGCTGCGAGCTTCAAAGGATATAATTCAACTACCCGTCCTTCATACACGACATACCTTAGTATAATCTTGCCCGTTTTCTTGACCATGACGCCTGTGCCATTGATCAATGTTGATCTTAAATTGACCAAAGATAATATAGAAGAAAAAACTGTAATACCTGCACTGATATGTAACGACGTAAGTAAGTTATCAGGTTTTGTTCATAAAACTGTAAGGTATTCTCCCAACATCCTTCGTCCCCACTATCTTTAGTAGAGCATCCAGCACTTCAAGAACAAATCAGTTAGTTGTAACATGTACTGAACTAACCTACAAAGCTTGAGCGTGGAGTTGATGCCTTCTCTCCATATTTGAGCCTCACAAAAGCTAATCAACACAAGACACAGTAGAATACGTAATTGATACTTCATCTAACCTGAATATACTATAATTCATTTATTGGCTATTAAAAGAACAAATTTTCTTTAATGGATGGCTATTATTTTCAAATCAATATCGAATGTAAACTCAAAAAGCTTCAATCGATAATTTGATAAGAATGCATATATACTATGATTAGCAGAATGTCACAAAGCCTTCTGTTTGAACCATACATGGCGTGAAACGGAGAAACGATGTTTTTTTTTCAAACCGCAAATCAACTAACTTGTTCTATGAAACGGCAAAGATGCGTTCTTATGGGCATGGTTGAGTTCTTTCGCTGTTGTGCGAGAATATTATGTTCACCGATTTGCTGTATGAAAATAGCGTGGGAAAACAAAAATGAAAAATTGAGAGAGGAGATGATCGCTAAAGACTCTTAACGACACGTTTTCAATAACTTCAGCCTGATATAAACACATCAGGAACAGTCAGATCTTTCTTTGTTTATCAAAATTGTTCTAATCCATCTGAACTTTCGTAAGTTTCCATTTAATTACAACTTCAGCGACTACGACTTGCATGAACGCGTGTGTGAAGTGTGGGAAAATTGGAATTCCAAGAGAAACGTGGGCAACATTAACAATGATGTTCGCTTCCAACAATCTCATTTCGATCGATAACTAGTTCAAAAAATGAAGAAGCAATAAAGAAAAAACATTATAATCGTGAGAGAAAAAGCAAATAAACACCAGAAACCTTATGTTTCCGTCGAGAGGAAGACATGAAGGAACGGCAACTCTTATGAATATTTTGTGGAAAAAACTAAAAATTACCTCAGCATGTGACTCCTCATAGCTTTCTAAATCAAAACAGATGTGAGAGGAAACCTCGCATATATGCCATAGACAAGCGTCATCACAAGAGATATAGAGAAAAGAAAGTTTGGAGAACTGGAAAGCGAGGGAGCAGAATGTCCTTGAAACGGATATTTAAGGTTCGTGTAGAAATCGATCGGAATGCGCAGTCGTTCAAAACGCAGGCTAATGAAACATTCCCATTGAGGACGGCAGCAAAGGCTTTATGAACGTTGCTGAATTCTTCTCTTCACTAACTCTCTCATCTATTTCCAACTGCTGATCAATGCTTTCCTTCCAATTGTGAGACACCGGAAACACTGAAGGAACAACGCATTTAAGCAAAACGCTTCTGGAAGATTCTATAATATCAAGAGGAATCAGACATTCCAAATTCAAAAAAAATCTGAACAGAGAGTTTCAATGACTTTATTCGAACTGCTGTACACTTCGAAGCAGTTGGATAAACATAAGCCCGCGAGAGTGCGAGAACGATAAGGAACAACTAGAGGTATAGGAACGGATGGATAGAAGTCGTTCGGAGGTCGCAAAATAATAGAAACGAACAACAAAAAGGATGCTTCTTAGTGAGGTGAATCTAAGAAGCTTGAGCTGATGGATAACAATGTTGAGAACATCTTCATGTAACAAGAATGAGAAAGTATAAGAGTAGTAATGAAAACATAACAACCACTGTTTGGTGTTTCGATACTATATAGAATCAGTCCGCAGCCCAACTCACAAGTGAAGTAACCTAAACCGACTTAATATGTTGGAAAGACGTCGAGGGGATATGGGGATGAAAAGAATCGAAACTTTCCGATCTGGCTCTCCTTAAGCTGCTCCGTAAACGAAAAGTTCTTGGAATAGATGAGACTTCTGCTTAGAGTCGTCGCAAAAGGTAACGTGTGCAAGCGCCGTTATGGAAGCGTTCGAAGAATGATGTGAAAATTAAAGTTTTTGTAAGCTTTGAATTTAGTAAGAGGTTTTTAAAATATTTAAATTCAAGAATTTTATAGAAAAAATTTTGAATTTATTCAAATTTTACATTTTACATTAATTTTCTTGGGGGGCCTCGGACTTTTTCTTCCACCTAACTATGAGTGATGGAGAATATAAGGATTTCCATGATCTAACTAAGAGATGTAGAAAGGATGGGAACAAAACTGTTCGACGTATAGATGGATAAAAGCTAGGCTTGTAAAATGACAAAAATACTACAGTATACAAACAAAAATCAAAGTCTGAGATTTTAACAAATTGGAACGTGTGAGAAGAGGTAAGAAACAGATTCACCATTGTGAGTACGACGAATAGCCTCAGCCAAGATCATTGATATATCGATACACTGCAAGAATGTGAATTAGAACAGTTCGGTCAAATGAATTTTGCGAATCTCCTCTCTATTCACAAAAAGCCAAATGACTTTTCTTTCTTCTAACCGCATTACTTCAATTATCATGAGCTCACACTCTTATCATACGCCTTATCTACTCAGTTGAGATAGTTCCTTACCTGAATCTTGGGACATTGTCGCATATTCTCTTCTTGAGGTATAGTGTTGGTCACAACAACAGCTTCAAACTTAGAACTATTGAGTCTTTGAAGAGCTGGACCAGAGAAGATTCCATGGACGCAGAAAGCATAAACCTTTTCAGCTCCAGCTTCAACTAATCTATAACGACTCAAGTGAGAATCCCAGATCATAATAAGGTACGGACTTATCAGCAGCCATGCAGATTGTTCCACATGTGTCCGCCATATCGTCTACTAATATAGCGACCTAAAATTTTTTTTCAGTGCAATTCTGTTCATCGGGGAATACCTTTCCTTCGACGCTTCCAACTAATGTCATTTTTTCAACTTCATTAGCGCGCTTGCGTTCTTTGTGAATAAGAGCGAAGTCAACATTCAGACGGTCAGCAATGGAAGTGACACTGAGAGAAGATGAAGTTCAAGCATCTTTAACTTTTATCAATTACCGCTTAGCTCCTCCAGCATCAGGAGAAACGATGACAGAGGTTTCCCACTTAGGAATTGATTCTCTGATGTACTTAAGTATAGCTGGCTCAGCATACAGGTTATCTACGGGAATATCAAAGAAGCCCTTAAAGGCAATTGTTAAACAAAGTACAAACAAACTAATGATAAAACCTGAATTTGAGAAGCATGAAGATCCATAGTGATAATATGATCAGCGCCAGCAACGGACAACATGTTAGCAACCTGGAAGTGAAACGTCAGAAGAGAATCCCTTTAGAGGATTATTACTAGTTTCGCCGAAATAGGTGCACGTGATTTGTCTTTTTTGTCTTGACGAGCATAGGGGAAACAAGGAATAACAGCAGCTACACGACATGAGGAAGCAATTTTACATGCGTTGATCATAATTAAAAGTTCCTTAAAGAGATAAGGATGAGCATGAAGTTCCTACATCCAAACCATGAGGTTATCATTTATTTCTCCGGCGGCAGATTGAATGATGTAAACATCCTCTCCACGTACAGATTCGCCGATTTCAACATTAGTTTCCTGAACGTCAGTACTGTCCGCGAGAAATTTCAAGAAATTTTTACCCTGTTGCTGAACTTCTTCAAAGAAGCCTTAGAAACCTCGAGTTGCAAACGCTCACAGATTCTTTGAGAAAGATCTTTGTGGGAAGAACCGGAAAAAACCTGTAAAGAGGATTAGCGTTTAGGAAGCTAATAAGGAAATATTTACCTTGATGTTAGGCATTCTGACGTGATGATCGGTAGGAGGTAAAGTTTCCGTTTTGTTTGTCGTCTTTGAATCCGAAGTTAAATCAACCCAAGAGCTTCGATAAATTTCTGAAAACATAAGAAAGTTGGTGGGAGTGGTTGTGAAAACGGCATTTCTTCAAAAGACAACATTGAAAACATTAAATAAAGTATGAAAACAGTGTGAATAGCGATAACTTGTGTAACAAAGTTGATAAGACACTGTGCACTTAACATTAGAATATGAACACTCTATCCTAATCGAGAAAGTAAAAAGCAAAGTCCTTCCCAAGTTTCAACGAAGACTTGCTCATTGTTCTTGGGGAAGACAATTTGTAATTTCGAGACTGATAAGACAGCAAATTCGAAATGGTGGAAGCAACATAGCCAGACAGAGACCATGGAATAATAAGAGACTAGCAATCCTCTCTGCGTACTTCGCTCAAAGAACACGCGCAACGACACACTACCGACTAACTTTTTCAAATAATTTGTGTTTGAAAAAAGTCCGTTTTGGTTTTTTTATTAAGAAAGATACAAAAAATCACATGAATGCAAGGAGGACGAGAAGAATTTGACCACATGCCAAACTCCCACCCATTCTTGTAGTGGTCGCAACCACGAAGACAATTTGTAAGATGTCTGTGACATTACATTATTTTTGCAACAGAAAAACAGGGAGAAGCGGAAAAACGGACAAGAGCGAGTGTTGGCAGCGACAAAAACATCTTCACATCGATCAGTAATTTAATTGATCGAGTAAATTGCAACCGAGTGCGGGTACTGTTGACAAAACGTCCAAAGCGATGATACGATTGACTTTCGTGCGCGAAAGAAATCAGATGTACTCTGGCTTTATTGGGTTTTTGTTAGAGAAGAATGTTGGAGAAAAAGATAAAGACATTGAAAACTCATCAAATTTTTGACATGAGTGCAAAGAAAAAGACAGCTGTTGCCTCTAGTATGCAAGCAGTACCTTCTAGATAGGAACTATGTTTTACAGTTTAGCGTGTCCGAATTTCAAACATCGCGTCTGATAAGGCCGACAGGAAAACATTTTGATGGCATGAGATGATTAGTGGATACATTTTCAACAGAGACGGAAAGTCCACAAGTACTTACCGGAGATACGTTCAGCGTGGCTTACAATAGGAGGGACCATGTTTGCTTATCTGAACTTCACCCATAGAACAGAGAAAAAGCAAATCAAAATACTTACTAATTAATATTAAGTGATCGAAACCCCAAATGAATTATAACAAAGTTTCAATCACGATCTCCTGGCTGAGTGTGGGAGAAAACAAACACCGGAGTAGGGGGAGGGACTCACAGGTATTTATCTTGCCTCATATCTTTTCGACCAGGAAAGGACCGCCCCTGGACCTAGCACCCGCCATTTTTTTTAAAACATTGAGGGCGGGGTTAACTTATGAACAAGCTCAGCTCGGTCGTAAGGAGTAAGAAGTAACAAAGAATGCAGGAAAGTATTTCAGTTGTCCGGAAAGGTCGAAAGCCTAAAAGCCATTGGGAAGATCAAAAAACCAAATAGTGAAAATGGCCGCCAAGGAAAGAATTGATAAGAAGGTAGACAGATTTTTTTCAGCAAAAGACAATTAAAGCGAAGCTGCAGATTCGGATAATAGGATATCATATCCTATCACAATCTTATCAAAATGATATATAGTACTAAACACAGTGAACTTACGAGTTGTAGCGTGAGGACAGAGGTCACTTCTAGGTCTTCGCGAATTAAGTTGATGTCTGCTATAGGGCCGCATCCATGAAAAAGCCGAGTGTTCAGAAGCTTTTTGTTGATAAAGCAGCTGAAGCACAGATTTTACAAGAAAATATAAATAAAAATTAATAATCTTTGTCTTCTTTTTAAGCCCTGGGGGGATTCTGATCAGTCGAGAGGGAAGCCTATCGACATCGTAGCAAACATCTTAACAGCTTTATGATTTCTTTATTAAGTTTTGGCTTTCCAACGTTTATACAAAGAACTGAACACTCAGCTGAGATAAAAGGGTATATATTCCCCTAAGATATCCCCACAGGCTCAAGTTTCAAAAAGTTTCAACACTCAAGTGATTACAACCAAAAGTTCCATCAAAAAAGACTCACCTACTTACTGGCGATGAATTGAATGTGTCGTACTTAGTATTAAAAGACAATTTAACAAAACGGAACTACAGATCCCATTAAGAGCAGTATAATAGCCAGCAATTGGAGATCGTCTTGGGACCAAAATTATGTAAAGTCACCTGCCTATAATCCCAGATTTCCAAACTTCATATGCTCAATTGGAAAACAAACTCGAATGCAGCTTCGATCGGAAGCATAAATGTGAGATGACGTGAAAGCTATAAAATATGTGCTCAATGTAAAAGCTTAGAAAAGCAGTTCAATTGCTAATTCAAAACTAGTAACAAACGAGTTTAATAATTGAAAACATTGCCTCCAGCAGAAGTTTTTGATAAATATGCGGAGAAAACTATTATGAAATCTGCATGTCTCACACACTGTACACATAGTAAGCAGAACTTCAGAATGGAATGTGGTTTAATCGATTTACTTGTGGGAATATTTTCAGTAATATAATTAATTTCTCATAACTTCTATACTACCACTACCAACCAATGATATGTGATTATCGATTGAAACATATAATTTGCAACTTTTTGGAAGTTTTTATTGCGCTAAGCTGCTTCTTGGCACTGGTTCGAAGCAGCTTTATCAAGCTTTTGTTAGAAATTTTTAATAGATTCTCACATTCTTGTTTTCTAACTGATTTCTCTCCTAAATATTGGATAAGATGAAGATTGTCGCGTTTTCTGATGAACATTTTAAGCTTTTCAATTCAAAATGCTTTTTTTTTATTTCTCATCGTAATGAACTGGTTTATGACTATTACAGAAAGCATTAACAAAGATTTGACCTCAATCATTAATTAGTCTCGATTTCGTTAATATGAACCTGTTGTTTAGTTTAGTGATTATAATATGGAAAATTAGCATAACATATAATATACGCCTCATTAGCAAAATCTACTTCTTCACTTGACTTCATTATTTTCATTTTTCGATCTGCGACGCAAAGAAGTGGTTGTTCATCTGGGTAAGTTGATCATTTTGTTCCTTTTATAATTTTGTTATAGAATATGTTGTTATTGTTAAATATAAAATATTGATCTTGGTTGTTTATGCAACCAGATGTTAACTGTGAAAGAAGCTCTTCTTGTATTTAAATTAATATTCTTTTAAATTTCATATATACAATTATATATATATTGACACCCCAAATATATATATCTGTAGTGTAATATCTGTTTTTGTATATACCTTAATCTACCTCTGGTTAGCAGAAATTTCATTTCTTGTTCATTCATATTTAGACAACTTGCTCTAATACAAATATCACATATGCTTTTATCTTTTGTCTAATGATAGAATATTTCATATTCGTTCTGCAAAATATCATTTAGTTATTTTCCTTTTCACACTTAATCATCATTTGGTCTAATTAGCACTCATGATATTTATTTTTTTTTGTTCGGAATTTCAAACGAAAAAAAAGGAGAAAAAGAAAAAATAACTTGGTAACGTGACACGAATCGACCCCCCATCCCCCACCTACTTGACTAATCCCTTTTTTCGTTGGATATGCATGCAACGGTAGCCTGACCCTTTGGATTTCTAGTGAGGAATGGCGCGTAAATGCTGCATTTTGAATATTTCTCCTCATTTTTTTTTCGTTTCATTAAATTTTCATAATTCAACTTTTGTTATCATTCCAGTCTTTTCAAAAAAGCATTGGATTTGAAAGCGGCTTTATTTCGGTAGATTACGATTGTCTTCAAATATTTTTCCTCCTCTAATTTTATTGTTTGGATCAGAACTCTCCTCTTTTGTTTTTTGTTATCAATCATTCCAATTACGATTCTTACTTACTGCAGTTGACAAATGTTTTTTTTCTCTCGCAACTCCTCTTTTGGACACGTTTCTCGCTTTTCTGCCACGCGAGGTAGTTATGCTTGGCTTTCTCTCGAATGGTTTCCGTTTGAAAAAATAAAATCCTTGTCGTCATCACTATCAGTACTTGAATACTCAAGTGAACTCGTTTCGGTCGTTCAACCAACTATTAATTTTTGAATTTTGTAAACTTGCCGCGTTCCCAATCTTTGCGATTGATGATCATCTGGGTTTGCATGGGGGGTGCAGTACAGCTCTCCCCTGCTTTCAGATTGATCGATCCGGAAAAAGCAGTTTTTTTCCAAACTTTTATTCAGATTGAATGTATATTTCTCACCCACTAAATATCCATTCTAATCATAATGCGATGCTAATATTGAATTTGCTCTTGTTGTATTGGGGTTTTGAATTGAACGTGCTGAGTCATCTTTCTTCATGTCATGGTTCACATCTATGCTAAATAGCCAAAATCCCATAGTGCTGAAGGTGTTAGAGAGAACGAGAAAAAAATAGGAATTTTCATATGTTAAACTGATGAAACTGGTGGTGGGATGAGGGCTGAACGAACTTTGATAACGTTTTGACGGATGAAAGGTACAACCATTGGAACCCGAGACCAGTTCTTTCTCATCGTTTTGTCATACTGAGAGTTTTCTATTCGTTTCTTTTTCTTTTCTCTTCTCTTCATTTTCCTTTCTTGTTCAACGCTGTTTTGGACTGCCTTACAATGACCTTCGTTGGCATCAACCGCCATTAACATTTCTCTTCTCTCACCGTTGCTATCTGTAGGAATCTCTGAGTTTTTTTCCATATTTTCCGTTCCGTTATCGATATCTTCTTTTCTCAATTGATTGTTCTATAATCTTTATAGTAGTAGATGGATGAACTACCTGATCTCTCTTTACAAAGTCCCATTGTGAGCTCTTATCTCTGTGCCATCTTTCTCGCTTTTTGTGCCATTAAGTCAACCCATTAGCTCTTCATAGGCTCATCCACATCTTATAATTTATGGAAATTTTTTTACCGCTTACGATGAAGCGGAACAGGACACGATTAAAGAGGTTACTGTTTGATTGTTTATCCAATTGAGAAGACAGCCGTCAAGACGTTTCCTTCTTTCGTGGGCTTTGTTCTAAACGATCAGTTATAAAAACACTTTCTCTTATGATGATATATTGTTTCCAATCTATCGAAAGATCGTTCTCCTAACGCCACTTCTGTTTTCTTCTTTTCTGAAGAGACCATACCTATCGATAGCTGATCACTTTTCAATGCGATCACATAGTAAGCGGACTTTCGGTGTATCGTCCTTGGCTCTTTTTTGGATCTTGTAGGTGTGCAAGAGGTCAATGAGTTTCTTCTCAGCCATTCTTATTCATACTTACTCTTTCAATACTATCAATGTATGACTTACATTATATTCTCTACGCCTCCAAATCATTGATTCCTATCCTAAAAACACTTCCGCTTCGTTCTTCTCATATTTTTCCTTATTAACTTTAAATTTAATTCCTAGAAATTCAAAAGATAATATTCTGTTAACAGGCCCTGTAATGCAACCGCTTCACCTGAAGTAATATGTAAAATGAAAATTGATTTTTCGAAAAAAAGGCGCGAAAATGAACATAATATCATTTTTTGACATTTCCTGGTTAATTTTTAATTTTTTCCCAACTTCCATCCTCGAGTATACTCTTTCTAAACATGGTTAATAGCTTGAGTTTCATGAAATTCGAGTAGAATGCCGTCAGAAAACGATTTGTGAATGCTCTTTGTGAGCTTTTCCACAATTCGGGCCACTAAGCAATTTTTTGAGATATTCATGAATTAACTAATTTCTGGGCTTTTAATTATTTGTCTGCAGTTGTCATGTTGCTTGTGTTGCTGACCTTGCAGCTTATCTTAAGTATAGACTGTATGTATGAGGAAACGCGGCAGCTGTTTTTTGCTCGTACTATAAGAGGAAATGGTATTTCTGCCATGTTCATTGTATGATCGTTTCGATTTTTAATTTTGTTTTGCTCTTCTACTACCTTGGAGTGTGTAAAAGCTGGCAACTTTTCTGATGTTGCATCTTGACAAGGAAACATGAGAAGAGTGTGGGTTTGTATCTCTCTTCCGCTCAACCTATACGTTTATCATTTTTGTTTTTGTCTGAACTTTTGTTTGCTAAACTAGCGATAGTTTGATCAGCTGATTGTAATTTTCAGTTTCAATGTTACTCATGCAGATTAGGTGAACTCTGGATAGTTATCTCTCCATTGTGTTTGCGCTTCTTGTTAATTCTGATGTGGTTTTGTCTAAATCAGACAGATGTGTCAGAACATAATTAATTCTAACCACTACTTTCATTTAATGAATTCTGTCTTCGTTGGTGTCGTCATACTGCAATTACATTTATTAGCTAACCCTTTTTTGGTAATTTGATACGTTCCCTATTTCATATGCCTTTTTTCTAATAATATGACTGGTAACGTCAAGCTCTGTTATCTTCCTGTTCTGAAAACGGATTAGCTTTTTTTACATTTCATTATATTATTCGCTTCTCTGATTTGCTTTGTGTTGGTCTATGCTATGATGCTAGCGAACCTGAGTGAGAGAAGGTACTCTAGCCTGAGAACACTTTTGGAAGTCGCGTCTCGGATGCAATGAAGGTTTGATTTTCCATATCTCTTACGACTTAAGAGCACCAAATGGAAGGAAATGTACTACGAAGCTATGTCCTACTCAACACCCTAGCCCACCACTTTCCATGCCGTTGGTCTGGGGGGTAGCGAAAGAGAGAGGAAATGAGAGAGATGAAGGTTCCGCCCAACATGCATTGATGCTTTGCAAACTGCAGCTTGATATACCAGTTCTGTTATATGAACGTTCATATCCTTCTGACGTAATCTTCAATCAGCAAAACGTATGAAGAAGATGTAACTGATACAGTTTCTATCGCTTGAGGTGATTAACCTTGTATACTCTCGGCTTGACTCCACTCGTATCGCTTAACATTTGTTCACAAAATTCTCCTTTTATGGCTATTTTTTTCCATCAAATACGATATTTCACATTATGTTTTTGTCGAATGTTTTACGCATGATTCACACACTCTGCCATAATTATCCGGTATTGTATGTTGTTCTGATTGCCTATGTTTGGTCAATGTACTTTGAAATATTCACGTATTTTTTGTCTATCTCTATAGAAGATGGATGTTTCCAAGCCGACTCTTGTATGCGAGAATAATTCTCTTAAGACTCCTACTTTGCGCTTTTTTCATCTTTGGCTTAGGTCTTTTCATTTTTGTTGAGCATTGAGAACACACTTATTTCCATGTTCTCCAGCGACAACTTTTGATAACATTTTTTCCTATTTATTCCGAGTCTTTTGTCTTGTCCATCCGTCAACATTTTCCTCGCAACAGCTGCTTGCACCTGATGAACTATTGCTTTATCCATTAGCCTCGCAAGCGAAAATCTCTTCTTTGCCATCTTTTAGCGATTTCTGAATAACTCATCTTTTATTTTCTGACATAAATGCCTGTCATCGTTGTTCTTTCTTTGCTATGTGAACCATATAAGTCGTCGATTTGAACCGAATGCTCCGGTCTTTAAGAAGCTTTTTGAGATTTAAGTGAATTATCCACGTTCATTTGGATCTGCCTTTTCTGCCATACAACGTGTCCACATTCTCTTTCCATTGTTTTACACATTTTCGGTGCTCATTGGCTTATATGGGTCATCAGCATCCTTTGCTCCTTCGTAGATCTTTGCTCTTTTTGCTCAACTCGTTCTACTTGACGCTCTACATCTGTGTGTTTCATATTTTCAATTTCAGGCCTAGAGGTAATGAACTGTGAGACCAAGCATGCGGTTCATTGTGCAGTCTTGCTTTGCTGGATATTCGGCTTTGCCTATATATGTCGAGTATTCGACAGCGAAGACAGCAAGCCATCTAGTGCCATTGAACAGTAAGTTTTTCTTCGATTCGCCCCTTCCCGTTTTTCCTCCTTCATTTACTTCCCGCTGTTCGTCTTTTGAGAGAACTTGTCAGATCGGAAGTTCATTGACTGTCCACAAAATGTTGGGAACGAAGACATGATGTCTCTGAAATTCTCATAAAACCCTAATAAGTACCATATGGAGGTGATTAGGATAAAGAGATTTATGCAATTCATTTTAGATATGGCTACATCTGGACGATGTTTCTTTACGCTCTTCGATTTACAGCTCTCCTAGTATTACCTCAGTGCTTATGCAACTTATTAGGACTTGTTTTGTTCAATGCTTTCAAGGAAAAAGTTCGTTAAATATCTTTTTTGTTTCTTTATGTTGCATTTTTGAGGTTCCACTCAAAGCAGCTCCGCTTCTTTCGCCTTTTGTGTGCTTCCGGGTAGTTACGAAGGGAGATTTCCCACTCTTGGTTAAGGTAAGAAGCTCGATTACACAAAAATCTTGTAAATAATATATTGGACGAGACCATCGAAATCACAAAGTTTCTCCTCTGAAAGATGTGGGTGTTTTTTGTGTGTGTTTGTTTCGAGACTCCTAGGAAACAGTTCGAATACTTGATCATAAAGACAGAGGGAGATGAAGACAAAAAACAATGCTGAGCTCATGATTCATTCATTTAATTCACCTTTTCAGGAAAATATCGCGATAAACATGCAGTCATGCTATGACGCTGGTATGGAAAACTTTATGTTCGAGGTTTTCTTCTATTTTCATATAAGTATCTAAACAAGTTTTGGCAGGTTGTAACCGATAGACCCATAAATTTACCTCCCCAACCACGTATGAGGGAAGTTGTTGTTCCAAGCTCGTACCGAACAAAAACAGGAGCGAAATTCAAAGCGAGAGCTTTGCAGTATTGTCTGGAAGATGATGTGAATAGTCTACATGTGAGATTTTATTTGCTCTGAAAGAATTTAACTTTTTATTCTTAAGGATAACGACTGGATTGTCCATTTGGACGAAGAAACTTTATTGACGACAAATTCCGTATGTCCGGGTGTGTTAGTCGATAAAAATCGTCATTTTTAGATCTGTGGGATTCTTAACTTCTGTGTGGAAGGGAAGCATCAGTTTGGCCAAGGATTAATCACCTATGCGAATGGAGAAATTGTCAATTGGCTAACAACGTTGTCCGATTCCTTTAGGTAACTTGTGCGAATCGAATTCCCACATCTAATCATAATGTTATGCAGAGTAGCTGATGATATGGGAAAACTTCGATTACAATTCAAATTGTTTCACAAACCCTTGTTTGGTTGGAAAGGATCTTATGTTGTTACTCAAGTATTTTCATAATCGTCAGGATGTTATCTCACCTTTTTGTTTCAGGTAGCGGCTGAGCGAAAAGTTTCTTATGATCATGGAATGGAAGGCTCAATAGCTGAAGATTGTTTCTTTTCGATGATAGCCATGTCGCAGGGATACTCGTTTGATTTTATCGAAGGTCAGTAATCCGTTCTCATTCGATGTTTAATGCGCTCGTATACGATAAGCTGTTCGGTCACTGAAAATTATCAAATTTGTTGGCGCTTTTTATTGTGAATTTGTTTTGTCAAAGGATGTTGTTTATCCATTCCCCGTTTTTTAGGAGAAATGCATGAGAAGAGCCCTTTTACCATGTGGGATTTTTTACAACAGAGGAAACGATGGCTACAAGGGATTCTATTAACCGTTCATTCATCGAAAATCGCTATCGCACATAAGGTTCTCATTCTTTTTTATATAGCTTATATCAACATGTAATTCAAGTCTTTACTCGCTCTATCCCTATACGCTTGGGCTACCATGCCGATAACATCTTTACAAGTGAGTATAACGTTCAACTAGTACGAACATGATGTACATGTCTTCAGGTGTTTATTTGTCCCATATTTCCTCTTCCGAGGTGTTTACCATTTGATTTCGCATTAGCTTTCGTTGGGGCAGTAAATCTGTACATGTACATCTTCGGAGTGATCAAATCATTTTCACATAAGTACAGGTGAGTCATAGTACCCTTCGCGGTCGAAAACAGTGTTAATCCTTGCAGAAATAGTTTTTGGAGACTTTTTCTATACTTAGTTGGAGCGTTGCTCACTATTCCTTTCAACATAATTATCGAGAATGCGGCGGTTTTAGTTGGAATGTTTGGCAGAAAAGATCAATTTTACATTGTCAACAAAGACATGCATATCCAAACTGTTTGAGCTTCAGCTGTCCTCATCATATCCTCTTGATCTCAGGCTCTAATTTTGTAGGTACATTGTTTCTACCTTCCGAAGCTCATATTTTGTGCTCCAAGCACTTCGTTTCGGAACGGCTGTATTACTTGAAACTTTAATTTTCCTCTTCGAGTGTCCAAAGTGCCGGTTAATCTACCCTGTGATTTGTTCGATACGTATCTGCTCTTCCGAACTAGTATTATTTTAGTTTTTGATGATTTTGAGATGACTTTTACTCTTCGATCATTCTTTCAACATTTATAGGTAAAAATGGCTCCTCATCATTTCCAAATTTCCTATCACTAAGCCTTCCTATGTTCTGTGATCCCCACCTCTGTCTGTGAATACTTCTAATATCCTTTACTTTTGTCTTCTATATGGCAGGTTCCTTGTTTACGAACGCTCTCTCACGGGTCTTGTTGTTCTTTTCAAAACCCTTGTCCAAGGATTAATGCTCTTGCCTTATCCTAATTCCTCAGAGTTTATTTTCAAGCACTCTCATTGTGCGCATGATTAGCATATGTTTTTCTTTGCGACTAGTCCCTACGCGCATCCTCATTTTTTGTCGTAAGGGCGTATAGAGCGGTTGCTTCTTTATTTTTTCTTATTTCGAATTGCTCATGAAAGGCGCGTTCTTTTATTTTCAAGCTCAATAAAATTAACGGAAAACTATCCTGATTTGAAGATAATTTTGATGGTTCTTTTCAACTTCTAGATCAAACCGTTATATAAAATGTTCTATTTCACTAGAACAAGTAGTTGAAGGTGCCCGTCCGATCTCGTTCTCTTCTTCATTTCTTTTTTTGTTGGTCATTTCTGAAAGCGTTGTTAGCCCTAAGAATTACCCTCATGTTTTTCATGCTCATGACTTTTTAGGCATTCACCTACATATATTTATTTGTATAAAGTGATGCAGACTTTTAATAAAGATGTAATAATACGTAACTTTCTACTATGAAGACGTTTCATTCTATGATGATTGGTCTTTTGGAAGCAGCAATTCTAGCGACAACAGAAGGACGGTGAACTCCAAGTCTGAGCTTAACATCGTGTTTGTGACCCCACTGTAAATGAAATATATGAACGGAAAAATTAACTTAACAAACTCTTTCGAAGACAGTAATATCATCTTCTTTGCGGATGAAACACCAGTTTAAGAAGAACACGCAAATTATTAAAAGGCTGGCTGTGAAAACTGCACCAACAGCCAATGGAGAAAGGTAATCGGCAAACTCCAATTCTTGCTTAGGCATGTTCTATAATGAATGAATGAGCTGAAGAATTTGGAGAATGACGAGAGTGGTGATCAGAGAAAAGGAAATTTAAAATTTTTACATCATGCAGAATGAACGTATTAGTTTTATGAGGAAGATAAGAATCTATAATTAGGTAGAGCAGTTATCGAAATACTGAGAGTACGCACAGTGAACCATAGTTTCAACCAACTGGATAGAGTTGCATTAAAAACTGTCAAGTAGGTAAGACCAAAAAAGAGCAAAAAAAATGAAAATAAACAAAAAACAGGAAATGCTCCGAGTACCTTAAGGTTCTCTTTACCGGAACTAGTTCAGTAGGGGAGAAGTAAAATCGCAGTTGCTCTCCATTTCTAAGTTTTTTGAGAAAAGAGAGAAAATCAAAAATTCGAGCTTTGCTATACAGAGCGTTTAGGACCATTGACGTGAATGCAATCATTTTATAAAGACTGATAAGAGAAAATCAATTTTAACTTTTATTGGCGGCTTCAACGATGCATATGAACGATTATATCAACAATAACCAAAAGAACAGTGAAAAAATGTTAAAACCAATAAATATCTTTAACCAACAACGTTTCCAGATATTCCTTACTTATGGAGTCAAACGACGTGGATCACGGGGGAACATGGAGGACAGGCGAATGTTGTGAAGTCCCAAGAACAACATTGTTACTCGTTCGAGACCAATTCCACCACCAGCATGGGGAGGACATCCATACTTGAAGGAGTCGATGTAAGACTGAACCTTATCCAGTTCAACAGCATGGTGTTTAGCTCTCTCAACCAAAAGTTGAGGATCGTGAATACGTTGAGCTCCAGAAAGTATTTCTTCTCCTGAAGTGGAAGCAGTACTGTGAGATTATTGATAATGAACTCGGACCTCTCATGAACATATCGTAACTGTTAGAGTACTTGGAGTCGTGAGGATCGGGCATAGTGTAGAATGGTCGTACGACCAATGGGAATTTGTCGAGAATGAAGAAATCAGTTTTGTATTTTTGCTTCAAAATGATTGGTTACAAGTAGTAGTTTAAGACTGTAGTTTTACCTTCACAAGCTTTCCGAGGAATTTCTCATTGGTGGTGTTCAAATCTTCCTCATCCCCCATCTCCACGCCGTTCTGTCGGAGAAGGGCAAGAGCCTCAGGATATCTAAAAAATTGCACTTAAGAAGATAGATGTTCCATGAACAAACTTCAAAACTAAGGCAGGCTCACAGAACTCAAATGGCTCAGCTGGGTATTGTTGATTGACAGCAGCGATCTCATCAACATACTCCTTCTGAAAGAATACTCATGGTGCCCTTCCATTACAAGAAAAACAAACCTGGAGTCCTTTGAAGACATTAATCAGAACAGATCCTATTGTTTCCATAACTTCATGATAATGGAAGTTGAAAGCCATCTCCAAATCGAGACCTACGAATTCAGTCATATGGCGATGAGTATTGGAATCCTCAGCACGGAAGACACCTCCAACTGTGAACACCTGACAGCCGAGTTACGCAGAAAGGTGGTACGTTCGATACAAACCTTCTCAAAGTCTCCAGCAATTGCCATTTGTTTGTAGAGCTGGGGAGATTGAGCCAAATAAGCGGATCCTTTGAAATATGTGACTTCGAAGACATTAGCTCCTCCTTCAGAAGCCGCAGATATGATTTTCGGTGTGTGGATTTCTGTGAATCCTCTCTCAGTCAAGATATTTCTGAATAATCGGCACACCCCCGATTGAATGGCGAAAATGCCTTGTGTAGTTGGAGTTCGAAGATCGAGAATTCTGAGAAAAATGAATAAAACATAAATGACTGGAAAATACCTGTTGTCAAGTCTTGTGTCCAAATTGACAGCAGCTAATCCGCTCTCATCATCAGCTTTACGAGAAGCATCTTCAATTTGAAGAGGAAGACGAGGTTCAGAGGAAGAAACAACAAAAACTTGAATGGCAAGAAGCTCAGCGGTTTTTTGAGTGCAAGAAGCAATTTCCGATTCAACTCTGACAACTTTGCCTTGAATGTCAACAATAGACTCCTAAAGAAGCAATAGATGACTCAAAAACTTCGGCAATATATGCTATACTTTTGAAATTCCGGCAACAAATTTGAGCATCTGCTTGCTCAACTTCTCTCCAACGAACAAAGAGACCTAAGCGATTCGACCAATTAAAGAATTTTCAATTTAATAATACTTGAGCTGTATAGACACGTTGACGAAGAACGATGAAACAAGTTTTTCCCTTTGAGCGAATGGCATGAATTCTTCCTCGCACCCAAATCTGTAGTATTCAAATTTGCGTAAAATTCTAAACGCAAACGGTTGTACTTCCTGGCCGTCGAGGTTAGCTCCTATTTTGTTTACGTTGGTGAACTCGATGTCTTTCTTGTCAGAGGACTGGATTAATCCATAACTTCCATACATTCCCATGGACACATCCTCCTCATCGGCATCAGTTTTCTTCTCTTCAGTTCCATCTTGGTTCTAGAATAACAGATCGAATCATCTGTTTCAAAAATTATTTTCTCTACCTGTGTTTTCAATTGCTCTTTCTTAGCTTGTCTAGCGAGTTTGTTCAACTCTTTCTTGGAAAGCTTCTTCTCTCCTTCAGCGTCAGCCATTATAGCGTATTACCTGAAAGATGTAATTCAGCTTGAACACGAAACTGTTACACTTTTGGTTTGCATCATTTAAAACAATGTTCTTTTACATCTCAACTATTTCAATAAAAAGTAAAACTAAGTTCACTACAATTGAAGATTTTCTTCTTCTTCATTCGTAGGTGCTATGTTTTGGAGAAAAAACGCAAACAAAACAATTAAATTAATAACAATGATAATTTCTTTCAAAAGACTGAAAACGGGTCAGCACGTCTTTTGCGCCAATCAGGCCAATGGCACCCGTTGAGATGCTTGGCAGTCAATACCCTGCGCCGACAGCCAAAGCCGTTCCATAGAATTCGTCCTGTTTTAGTTTTTGTCACGCGAAAGATAAAAATTTGTGTCATTTGATAAACGTTTTCTTCAGATTAACATATGTTTGACGGTTCCTCATTTCCTATTCTTGTTTGTTTTAATTCTTTCTAATATTTTTTGTTATTAAAGCTGGCATAAGAAATGTCGTCCAAGAAGAAGACTCCTCGTTCTCTGGGGAAAATCAAAGGGAAAGGTAAGGTTTTGGTTCCAAAATGGAAACTGTTTAGAGCTAAGGTGAGATATTTTGCTTGATTGCATTATTTTGTTGTTATTAGGAGCCTTTACTTTCCGTTTTTATGTGGGGAGTGAATCATTCTATTGACCAGCTTATGCATGTAGCTCCTCCAGGATTGTTGATGCCCGACGATTTTAAGGTTTTTTTATTATCTTTTGTCCGTTTTTATTATTTCTTGTTATTCAAGGCTTATGCGAAAGTAAAGGTTGATAATCATTATTTTAACAAGGATATTATGCCAAGCCACTACAAGGTGACGTTAGAGAGGCTTTGTTGTTTTATCGCCCAATTTCTTTCAGGTTAAAGAATATTGTCCCAACGTTTTCCGAAATCTTAGAGAACAGTTTTCTGTAGACCAACAAGAGTATTTGAAGTCCTTAACTTTGTGAGTTCTCTTCTACAACTCGTTATTTTTCCTTCCTTGTCTAGTAATGAACCTGAACCTGACCCACTCGATGGTAAAACCGGTGGAACACCCCGATTTTTTGTTTCTTTCGATAAAAAGTTTGTGATTAAGGTAATGTACTGTACTATTTTTCTTGTTTGACATTTGAAATATATGTAGTCGATGGATTCTGATGCTGTGGCTGAACTTCATTCGGTATTGAAGGATTATCATGAGTACGTTGTTGAGACTCAAGGTAAAACTCTTCTTCCGCAGTATTTGGGGTTGTATAGGTAGGGATAGTTTTCAACTAATAGTGAAATTTGTATGTGTAAGGTTAACTATTGACGGTACCGAAACCTATCTTATCGTCATGAGAAATGTGTTTGGGAGAAAGTATAACATCCATTCTAAATTCGATCTAAAGGTATGTAGTCTTGTCTTTTTTTATCATATCTTTCTTGCTAGGGTTCAACCGTATCTCGTGCTGCATCCGATAAGGAAAAAACTAAGGATCTTCCCACCTTGAAAGATAATGACTTCCTGGAACAAAATTTGAAACTTCATCTACCTCCGGTTAGCTTTACAATTCATGTTCTGTTAATGCCGTTGTTTTAGGAAGCTCGTAAACAGCTGTTGGATATGCTAGCCGGGGATACTGCTTTCCTATCAAAGTTACATCTTATGGACTACTCACTTCTCTTAGGTGTCTCTTTTCATCCAGGAACAGCTTTTATTCGTATCTTTCAGGTATACATGACTGTGAGAAGGCTCTTGTTGAAGCTGCAAATCGTCCAGCTGAACACGTGAGTGAGGAGTCTGCTGATGAATTAGCTCCCACCCCTCCTGATTCTCCCCTCCCATCAATTGGGGCGTTCCCTCCCTTAAGTGGAGGTCCAGATTTGGATGACGAGTTTTATGCTATAGCTACCCACCCAGGTGACTCAGGCGAAAAAGATAAAAATGAAAAAAAATTTTCTAGATAGCGAAAAGAGCTTAATATATTTCATTGGACTGGTTGATATATTGACTTATTATGGAGTTAAAAAACGAACAGCTACAGCTGCTAAAACAGTAAAGTATGGCTCAGAAGCCGAGAACATCAGTACAGTAAAACCTGATCAGGTATTTGAAGTGTCAGGATAAAGATATTCACATCTTCTTTTCAGTATGCCCGTCGGTTAATGGAGTTTGTAACAAAAGCCGTCACACTTTGAGCTTTGCTTCGAAATATTTATTAAAAAATTGCAAAATCTCACTTATTTATGCATATGCTGCTAGGCAAGTCTCGAATTGGTTATGCTTTGTCTTTATTTATTTAATGTATCTTCTAATATAATTATTTTTTATTCGCTTGTGTGGCTGTTTTTTCACAGTTTGCTTGGTCTTCGGTAGTTTCGCATCCTGGTTTACGAATTAGACTCACTTGAACTATTTATTTCTGACTTTTTTTCTTAGAAAAATTGCGATGTTGTCAGAACTTCTTATCGCACTGATCTTGTACAGTTTTTATTTTCTTTCCTCTCTCTCACCTTGCTACTCTATGATATGCTTGATCCTTTCCTGCCCTCTCTTTATTTTAGCCTAAATTGTTCGTTATTGATAGTTTTAGGCTGTATATTAAGTAAACGATTCATTTTTACTAATGTATATTATTGCTTTTGCTACATAAATAGTTGAAGTACTTGTTGAATTTCTTCGAATTTGGGGTTCGCATCCAACATTTATCTGAAGCTTTACACTTTCGTTTATTTAACTCAAGTTTAGCGCATGGAGGAGGTCGAGAAAGTCAAAGTTGTCGTCCGCACTCGGCCAATTTCCGCTCAAGAAATTAGTCAGGGCCACAAAGTGTGCGTTTCCGTCAACACGGAAGAGAAATCTATATCGTTAGAAAATTCTGCTGCTTCTCAGGTGTGTCTCTTCAATTTTATTTTTTCGGACCAGTGGGCGAGAAGCGGTTGTGCGCAATAAAGAAGCGCTCGAGTAACCACTTGTTTTCTTTTTCTCTTGCTCGCTTCCTACTCTTTCAACTTACAGGAACCACATCGAACTTTTTTCTTCGACTCCGTTTTCCCTCCAGAATGTGATCAAATGCGTGTATATAATGTGGCGGCTAGGCCGATAGTGGAAAATGTTCTTCAAGGATACAATGGTGGGGTTTGAAGAGGGAAAATATTTCTAAAGAAATACTTAGGAACAATATTCGCGTATGGTCAAACAGGAACGGGCAAAACATTCACAATGGCTGGTGATTTAGATGAGCCAGAACTAAGGGGAATCATTCCTAATTCTTTTGCTCACATTTTTGATCATATAGCGAAGTGTAAAGAGAACACAACGTAGGCATGACGTTTGAAACCGTTTAGTCATGGGAAACATTGCAGATTTCTTGTTCGCGTATCATATCTCGAAATTTACAATGAAGAAATAAGAGACTTGCTAGCCAAAGAAGAAAATATAACTAATCTTGAGATAAAGGTGAATACGCTTAGAATGTCTCTTTCAACCTTGCTTCTAGGAAAGAGCTGATGTCGGAGTTTATGTCAAAAATTTGTTGTCTGTTACGGTGAGCAGTGCTAGTCACATGCAGAAGATAATGGAGTTCGGGAACAAAAACAGTAAGAATTGTGTTTGTATAAACTCGGAAGATATTCTTTCCAGGGAAAGTTGGAGCCACAATGATGAACGTAGAATCAAGTCGTTCACATGCTATGTTTACCGTAACAATTGGTAAGGCTCTTGTTTTTTGATCGATCGTTGATTTGCCCATTTCTCACGCTCGTGCATCAATTGTTCGTACGGCCTGTATGCGGCAAATTATGATCCTCTTGAACCTATTGTTTCCTCAATTTTCCGGTTTCTTTCTTTTAAAAACGCTCATTTCAAACTTACTGTTTACTGATCGTGAGAGCATATGTTTCAGAGAGTTGTGAGAATGGCCATGTTACACAGGGAAAACTACAATTGGTTGATTTGGCAGGCAGCGAGAGACAAAGCAAAACAGGAGCAGCTGGGGATCGCCTTAAAGTAAGGAATTGTTTTGACGGATAGAAGAATCGTTGATTGATAACATGTTTGTAATTGGTATTATTTTTTCTTTTTTTAGGAAGCGGCTAAAATCAATCTCTCTCTCTCAACATTAGGAAATGTTATCAGTGCCTTGGTTGATAGTAAAAGTACTCACATCCCTTATAGGTTAGATCCTTGCTATGAACTCGAAAAAGACAATTTTGCAGGAATTCAAAGCTGACTCGCTTATTGCAAGACTCATTGGGAGGAAATTCCAAAACCGTTATGGTAGCGTTGTGACGCATTGTTTTGTCTAAGATGTTTTGTAGATTGCTAATATTGGACCAGCTTCTTACAACTATGATGAAACTTTATCAACACTCCGCTATGCAAATCGGGCGAAAAATATTCAGAACGTGGCAAGAATCAATGAGGTGAGAATGGCAAATTCGATATGGGGGACGAATACCACAATTGTGGTCTGGTTCTCAGGGCTTCCGTAGCGCAGTAGGCAGCGCGTCAGTCTCATAATCTGAAGGTCGTGAGTTCGAGCCTCACCGGGAGCAATTGTTTTTGCATTTTGAAATTTGACATCCGGTGTCTTTGCAGGATCCTAAGGATGCATTGTTGCGTAAATTCCAATTAGAAATTGAGGCTCTACGTAAGCAATTAGCAGGTAGTAATTTTGAGGCTGATATAAAGAAATTATGAAAAATTAAGATGATGAACAAGATGTAGAAGTGGGCAATGAAGATGATTTCGAGAAGAAAATGCAACAAATGGAACAGAATCTTGAGAAAGAGCGTGAAGTTAGTTTATTCTTTTCAATCATAATCCAAATTTGTTTACTTTCTAGATGTTAGCTGCTCGGAGCGCAGCAGATGATCCTGAAACTAAACGATTAATAGAGGAAATGGAAGAAAGGTTCGTTCATTTGATTACTGTTCTAATGTTTCCTGATTCTGCCATAGATTAAATTATCTGTGAGACTCTAATTATTCAATTTTAGGGAACTGGAGCTAAAACGAGCACGAGCTGAACACGAAACTCTCAAAAATAAATTGAATCAAATTGAAAGCAAACTCATTGTAGGAGGGGAGAACATGCTCGAAAAAGCTGAAATGCAAGCTCGACTACTTGAAGAGAGTAACAGGTTAGCTTTCAGAATGTAATCTTTCTTTTCAAGCGGTTTTGTTTAAGAGAGTTAGAGGATGCTCGAAACAATGAATCTCGTCTTCGGGACCAATTAAAGGAAAAAACTGCTGCTAGAGAGGATATGGAAGATAGGTTCGTTAAGTTTATTGGTTTTTTCCGAAGGAAGAGGTTAGATTCCTTCTCTGGTTTATTTGTCTTTGTCATTTTCATTAGTTGAAGATAAAATCTTCGTGGAACCAAAAAAGGGGCTAAATTCTTGAAAGCATTCATTTTAATTTATTTCTAGATATTCGTCTCTCCAAGAGGAAGCTGTTGCTAAAACTAGGAAACTGCGTCGGGCTTGGACGGAACTGAATGAAGCCAAGGCTGAGCTTGGTGACATGGAATCAGAGCATCAAAGAGAAGTTGAGGGATTGCTTGAAAGTATCAGGGAACTTAGAAAGGTATTTGTATGATCACTCGACAGTTTCTAATTTTGTGAAACAGGAGTTATTATTGAACATGACCATAATTGATGAGTACATTCCTCCTGATTATGTAGAATTGATAGAAAAGGTGAGCTATCCCGTTATGCGCTTTCAAGGTTATGTCTTCAGTATGTTTCTTGGAACGAAGAGTTGGGCGATTGGCAGTTGAAAGCTGTCGCCTACACAGGCAATAACATGAGAGCAACAGCTCCTCCTGTCATACAGCCGTTTCAACTCGATGGAAATCAAACTGTTCCGCTATTTTATTCTTACAAAACTGATCTCGGGGCATCGACAACAGATGTCCGACCTCGTACACGGAGTGGAAAGAAGTAGGGACTTCGAGTTTTTGAAATTTTAAAAACTATGTCTATCCTTTACAGGGAACGCAATGCAGCCAAGCTGAAGGCACTTCTCAAATAACCATAATTATTTATTTATTTATTTAAACTTGCTTTCAAAGAAGCGATCTCTACTAATAAGTATCTAAGTCAATTGTACTTTCATAATCAATTTTTACAAAAGCAAATAACATGTGTGATAAGTTTCGTAAGTGCGTGTCTTTCAAATGTATAAAGTTTTTATTAATGAAAAAAAAAGTTTTGATGAGATCTATAAGTGGGTTGGTTTTGCCATTCACAGAAAGTACTTTCTGTCTATTATGTGTTTTAAGCAGCTTATTCGATTTGAACTACATCTGCTTAAGCGCTCTCGGGGTGCAATATTGGCACGGTGCTATGCCATTCTGATCACAGCTTGCACATTTTAATCTGACGGAAAAAGCATCTCCTGAGGCTTTCTTACTTCCTGAGCATTTGGAACAAACGATGTATCCAGCTCCGTTGCATGTGGAACAGTTGTTACGACCCTGAATTGTAGAAATTGAGCATTGACTGTCAGTAGGGAGAAAAAAGAAAAATAGCAACCGGCACATTGCGCACGTATTCAAAATGAATTCTGTAATACGTGTGCAACGTGGGCATTGGAGGTTTATGCAAATGAGTCATAGGGAAATCAATCATATTTGTTTTGAGCGTCTTACCTGAAAATCTCTTAGTAAAGCCGATAATTCCTTTTTTTCGTTCGATAAGAATAATGTTTCATCGTTCTGAAATATTCAAGAACTGTTTAAAACATGCGAATGGTCTATATTACTGACGCCAAAATATTTTCCGTTGACATAGATCGTGGGCAAGTTATCGAACACTAAGTCGCGATCATCCTACAAGCAAAATCCTTTACATCTTTAATTGGACTAGTTTAAATGTTGAACTTACGGGCAACAACTGCATTCGTTCTAACAACTCAGGGACGTAGCTTGGGTCTAAATTCAAATCGCGCACTTCAACCTGAAATTTGTAATATATAACTGCATGCGGTAGAAATGCAACTTTGATGTTTAGAGCTCGCAGAAGCGTAACGGCTTGTTGGCAGCGATCCCACACCGCTCTGAAAATTCCGCAGGTTGTTATGTAAACGATAACTTTGTCTTCTTCTTCAGCTATATAATCTCTCTGAAAGCGAATGATAGCTACAGATTTTAATATGATTTCTTACCATCATAAGAGCTTTGTGTCGGAGAGATCGGATCGTGTTGTAAACATGAAGCTTTCGGCCCACAATAGATCCATTGCGAATTAATAAATCGTTCTCATTATTGAGAGAACGCTCCAGTTCCAACCTCATCCTATGCAAATTTCGAACCATCTCCTTAATATCCAGAGCCATTCTTTTCGATCTGAAACAGAGGTCATGAATTGAAAATTTCGATCTGATGAAAGTGTGAAAATATAAGACGTATTGTGGAGGTGGAAGTGAGTAATATGAAAGAAATATAATTATTTCTCTAGTTTTGGGTCATTGACGGTAAATCTGTAATAATTGTCCGCTCACAAGCTGATAAGAGGAGCGCATAAAGCGAATGACGACAAAATGGTCTTTAGGAACTTGCAGCTTGAGCATTCGTCATATAGAATATTCTTTACAATAATAAAATTCCTTGGGAGAAAATGATTATGTATGAAACTGTACAAAAAACGTCAAAAACTGCTGATATGGAAAGCAGGTTAGTAACCATATGATAATAGTAAACAGTTTGTATGTTCAGTTAACCAAATAAAGCCAGCAGACCGAAGATAGACAGCTTTGTCAATGTCAAAACAATTTCTCTGGGAGAGGTCAATCTTCTTGGCTTTCATTTCCTCAAAAAAATAAAGACCATGCGTAGTGCCAAGAGAATGGGCTTGAAAGTGAAATAATTGTTTCAAAAAAAAAATACAACTGCGCTTCTACAGTTCTGATACTTCGCTTTACATAGATGGTTGTATCTATATCTAGTGAATTTCATTCGACAATCTGTAGAAGCTTCTCATCTTGAGGAAGGAAAAGGGACTTCGAATTCAGTTGAAATGTTTTGAGGACAGCAGAATTTTTGAAGAAAACCACAAAAATTTGTGATAGACAAATACCGACAGAAGGTAAAAACTGAGGTGAGCGATATGACATACTTATCACTTCGCGCTATCAACGACCGCCAAGAAGAAAAAAAAAGAAAAATAATTAGAGTTAACCTCTATTCTTAGGAATTTCCCAAGAGTTTCTGTTTTGTTAATAAATATGAATTTCGTTTTTCCTGTTTACTATTTCGTTCCATCGAGATAACTACTTATTGATATCTATTGCGGTAACATGACTGCTGGAAGAGGAAAACAGTGCATCTAAACTGTTGATTAATTATGATTATCACTAAAAAGTGTAGAAATGTAGCCGCCATAGCTCAGTTGGTTAGAGCGTGGGTCTAATAAGCCCAAGGTCGCAGGTTCGACCCCTGCTGGCGGCAAAGTTTTGTTTGTTTATGAAGTTCCAATCAAACCAAGAAAACTTGAACGCTTGTGTGCCTTAGTAGAGAGACTTGAAGAAAGAAATGCGGGGCTATAAGTAAGATTAAAGGTCGGGTAGTACTGCACATGACATAGAAAAAAATAGAAAACCACGTTAAGTGTTGGCAGATAATCAATACTTGGTTATCATTCTTTTTCTTTGACCAAATCACATTCTATCTATGTATAATCCAATTTGTTTATAATATTTCTCTTCAGCAAAAATGAACATTTCAGCAAGAGTGCTCTGTAGAAGATTAAGAACTGCGGACTTTTCCATCGGCCGACTCATGAGTGATATTCCTGTTAACTTGAAAGGTTATTCTAATATTAGATGAAAGGAATGTTATTTCATTAAGATTGGCGAAAAGCTTATTTGAATGATGAAGAACCTTTCCTTCTCGAATCACTTCTGCCTCACCGTGACCCCTTCAAGCTTTATCATACCTGGTAAAACTGCTGTTACATACTCTTAAAATCCAATTGAAGGTTTGAAAACGTGGCTGCAAAAAAAGATTTATCTTTCGAAGAAGTGAATGCTGTCTGTGTATCAACCGTAGGACAGTAAGAGTGGTTCTATCGATTATCTTTAGAATTATTAACTTTTTAGGGATTTGCGACCCTCATCTCGGATGGTTCTGATGAAGAGCTATGATAAGGAAGGATTTACCTTCTTTAGTAATAAAACATCAAGAAAGTATGAAAATATCGCTGAGAATAAGAACGCATGTATGCTTTTCTACTGGCCGTCCGTTCATCGACAGGTGACTCGCTTCTTGGGATAACGTTTATCTAATGTTGAAGGTTCGTATCGAAGGTGAAATTAGAGAACTTCCTGTATCTGATGCCGATGAATATTGGAACAGTCGCCCTTTAGCTAGTAGAATAGGATCGAAAAGTAGTGTTCAGGGAGCTGTAGTTCCTAATCGTGAAGTACTTCAATGTTTTGTTCAATATAAACAAACAATAATTTACAGTTTTTATTGGAGAAGAAGAAAGAGTTAGAAGAATTGGCAGAGAAGGAAGGCGAGTCAGCTATCACTCGACCGGAAACATGGTTTGACAGCTTTTATTCTGCGGGATTATGAAAGTTCTTTCGCAGGTGCGGGTTTAAGCTCATTCCGCGATATTTTGAGTTCTGGCAAGGGCAAAGCAATCGTTTACATGATCGCATAATCTTTTCTCTAGAAAAAGATAAGGGAGAGGAAGTGGAAAACAATTGGTTTATGTATCGTCTGTCTCCATAACTAACCTTCATAATCATACTGTACGTGAGATGGTGCATATGTCATAACGCTTTCATTATTAATATTCTTGTGTATGCAAGCAGTCTGTTGAAACTAAGTTCTTATCATTGCTTTATTGAAAAACACTCATCAACATTTACTGAAAATACCAATAAACATCTGAGTGAGTTGTGATGTCGTCAGTTTCGGAAATCGAGGTGGAAATGTCTTTACGTAAGAAGTTGTGTAATGAAGAAACATTTGTTGTGGCTATTAATCTGTCACTGTCCAGTTGGCTCGATAGTGACCAACATTTTGTCGACAAAGTGGCACTTGAAGAGCCGGCTAAAGCCTTAATCAGACTTTAGTTAGGTATCGTTTATCAAAAAAGGATTAACAACTGTCTTTTTTGTGACTGAAACAGCTGCAAAAATGTGGTTAAAATTGAGTTTGAGAAAAATGAGATACAACTGGTCTGTTCATAAACTTTCAATCGTTCATTGAATACAACGAAGGATATGAACTTTTTCCTGAGAACATAAGAATGGAAATGAGCTCTTGCATAACCAAGGTCATCTTTAGGAGATTGAGAATCTGAGAGGAGCAGCGCTGACAACTCGATGTTCAAGTAGCATTGACCATATATGTTTCTTTGTCTTCTCTATTTGTTTGTTTGTCATTCATCAACTGTATCCATGTCTTTCGTTATAAGCACTTAGAGCTTTTGACTAATTTTCAAGTTTCTTCATTCATACACGCATCTGCCTCTAGTTTATAACTTAACGTTTTATACACATTTCATTATCGAACACATTAGAAATTACTTTTTATCTCCTATCCCACTTCGATCCATGTTTAACACCGTGTGTTAAACAATAGAACCATTAGCAGCTGAAATACACATTAACTCCTGGTTTAGACATACAGCAAATAGGGACTCGTTGTGACAAGTATGTTTATGAGGCCGTTTGTCGTGCCCTTATAGCTCAGTGGCAGAGCGTCTGTCTCGTAAACAGAAGGTCGACGGTTCAATCCCGTCTGAGGGCAATTTTTTTGCACACTTAGTACAACATGTTCGTATGATTGTTATAGTCTCAGGCAGCTTTCTTATAATGAAAATCAATATATTTTTTATCGCTTTATTAGTCACAGTGTTCACAGTCCGTATGAATTTACTGTTCGGAGTTCTAATTTCAGTTTCGAAAGTTTTTAATGTTGAATTATAATACAGAATATCTTTAGTGTTCTCACAAGGTCTATCTTGATTGATGTTAGCTCTTTAATATGATCTTATACTGTTATCCCAACATTTTTGTACAAAAAGTGCCAAGGCCGTTTTAATTGTTTTTTTTTTCATAATAAAGGACTGCGGGAAAACCATGAGTTGACCTCAAACTGCTTTTTCAACAAAAAAAAATTTCCATAAGAAAATGTTGAACCGTTCTTCACGGCTCCAAAAATTAGATCGGTTGTACATGCAAACCCCGCGGGAAGTTCAAAATGCCAAAATCTGTTTTTTTCTCAATATATTTTTAAGCTACAGTAATTTCTTTTGTCTACTTTACTGGTCATAAATTGAAGTAAGGAGTTTGCTGCTCGAAATGAACTCATAGTGAGATGGCTCGCGCTCAACACTGTGTTATACACGGCGGTAACATCAAAGATAATTGAACAACAAAGTCTTATGTAGACCGACTTGTCAATTTTCAAAATTAGTTGCCTTTGAGCAAATTTAGGATTGTTGTGCTTTTGATGACATATGGCCGGAAATCAGAGGAGGAAGAGAGAGAAAAAATGTACTTTAGGTTCACTGTGAGGCACAGTAATAGTTTTCAGGCATGGGCTTACAATGTAGCCTCGAAGATTATGGTAGCAGCAGGAGAAAGAAACTTTACACAGTCCCCTTGTCCATATTGCTCTATAGATCATTAAGATTGAGAATGAAGCAATTAAAGAACTTATGCAACTTATTTCTGTTCATAATTGAACAGTACTAGTGAACAACTCAAAGAATATTCTTTAGATATAGCTTGTTGTTGCTTGTTTGCTATAGCTTCTCACCGAATCTTATTTTTTCTTTCATTTCGTCATCATCTTAGCTATTTCCTAGTTTGTCGCATTATTAGACAACGAGCATCTAATATAGCGAAATAGCCACAACGTATACCAGTTTTTTCTCTTTTCTGCCTTAACTATCTGAGACTTTGATGAGATGACCAAAAAAGAAACGAATGGATAAAAAATGGGATGTTTGTCAGCTTCTTAACAGCACACTTTTATTGAACTTAAGCCAGATATCCATATTTGCTTGTTGATTTGGAAAATACCAGTCGTCACCTGAAGTCTGCCTGCTATTTACAGTATATGCAGGACATACTTTCTAGACTTGGATGAGGAATATGATCGTCATCATCCTTACATAGATGTTTTCGTCCAGACTGGACTTTACTTCCCTTAAAGGCTTGACGGAAATTATCCTTTTTCTCATAGATTACTCTTACTGCAACTATTTGAAATACCAGTTTTTTAGCATTTAGTTCTTATCCAATTGCGTTTCTTTTTGTTGTTGCTTCCTCCTTGTGACCACCATGTTCTTCAATTTCTAGCTTGGCTTTAGCAATCCCCTCTCTCTGTGTCTCTTCACTCTCTCAATCCTTTTTTTCTCTCTCTCTCTCTATGAACTGTTTAGCTTTTTATAATATCATCATACCTCCTTTATCCTTTCTACCTTCATTCTGCTTTTCCCTCTTCTCCTAGTTGATTCCTCTCTCTTCCATCTTCATATCTCCCTCTCACAATTATATTTTCGTATTTTCTTACAAACTTTTAGGAAGTTTCTTGTTTCTCTTAACTTAACTTAAATAGCTAATTTGGGCGGAGTCTGGAAAGATGACATGAAATGGGCGGTGCTAAGCTAGATATACGACAATCCATCTAAGCCGGCTTCCAAGTTTATTGCAACGTGGTCATAGTCAGAAAAAAAGAGAAGAAGCCAGTTGTTTTTCTTCTTTTTTTTGTTCGCTTTTTCTTACTATCTCAACCAAATGCGACATGCTAGCTGTTGTGAACTTTTGAGGTTTCTCATCCAACTTATTGAACCCTTTTAGAACCTTTCAAGTCCATTTTTTCTTCGAAACCCATATCTTCTATTTCTAGTTTTCGTACATTTCTACAGTCAATCTTTATTGAGTTTGCTTTCATTCAATCCATTTTCATCTTTCTTTTCCTCACGTTTTTTGTAACTTTGACCTGCTCTCGACCAAGTTTGATAATGCTCATTTCCATTTATTTGCTTTTCGCGCATTTCCAACTCAGCTCGTTCGTGCACTTTAAATCCAATCTTTCTTCCATATTCAATCCTCTACAGATCAAACTTGTCATCATCTAATCGACTGAAACATTTTGCCAGAAAAAAACGAACAAATTATTTGTTTGAGAGTATTTCTATCCAAACCAGTTCTGAGATTGTTATGCCCTTTTAAGACAGTCATTCCACCTCAAAGCTTTTCCGTGTTAAAGCTTCTCTCTTTATATCGCCTATTTTTCTTTTACCTGAGTATCTGGTCTTCGTTTAACCACGCTGCTCATCTAACCAGCTTTTTTTCAAATAAATAAATAAGACAGCAGTGAGACACATTTCGATGTTTGTTTTTGAAACTTAGCCTCCTCACCTTTAAGGTCGTATCGACGTCGTCGTCTTTAACGATCAAGAGATCGTGGCTTTTCTCATATGGAAGACAATCTTTGCCTTTTTTCTCTGTTAGTCAGCTCAAAGAGAGAATGCGAAGAAGAAAGAGAATGTATAAACTCAAAAAAGGCTCGACAAACGACAAAGTTGAAACTTTTTAAAGTTGCTCTCAATGAAAAGCCGGAGGAACAATTGAATGAAATTTTTTTTCTTCGCTTTTTTCTCTCTCCTTCTCCACATTTCGTTGACTCTTCACTTTATTTTCTTTTCGTAAATGATATCGTTACGTCGCTTCTCAATGGAACAACGTGCAAATAGTGGTCACGCTGCTCAAAGATTTTCATTTTTCAAAATAAACTCTGTGCAGGTCATTCATTGGTCAGCTCTTTTGCCACATTAGCATATTACAGTCGTCCGCCTAACTTCCTTGATATACACACGTCAAACGCTTTTCATTTTCACTTCACCTGCATAGCAGAGCGGTTGTGCATCCTTACTTATACATATCTCTTTGACTCGATCACTCTTCATAACCATTTTCGACTGTTTTTCTATAAACCATTTTTTTTCTTATGGCATCTTTGAACATAATATGTTCCTCATGAAATAGATACCTCCGTTCTATCCATGAGATTAATGTATATGAAGGACATTAGGATATGTAATGTCCTCATTAAAACAGTTTATGATGAAGTTGTCACCTTCCAAATTATCTTTTCCCACGATTGCAAAAAACGCCTGTTGTCCCTGCTAACTCCTCCCTCAGCTCTATTAATTTTCTGACTCCATTCAGTCAGTTCATTCAATTTATGAAGGAAATATTAAGATGGCTTTTCATTGTCTCTCATCATGTTCTCATACTCGTACCTCGCTTAGCACATCTTCTCTATTATCCTCCTAATGCAATAGCATCATTCATCTAATTACCTCCGTTGCAAAATACGAAATGATAAGATATGAATCAAAACAAAATTTGTTACAAATTCAATGTCAAAAAATGGTTTTGAAAGTCGTTTTAATATCTTATCGTTTTTATCAATTTTTATGTTTCAAAATATACTGTAAACCCCTCCTTATTAGGCTTTATTCGTAAGTTTGAAGTTTTGTCACATAATTATGAAATCAGAGAGCATTTTAAGATTTTTTCGTTAGTAATACTATACATTACGTTTATCTGATAATTATAACCTGTAAGAGTCATCATTCCTTATGTTTCTTAATTTGCATTCCATCCTTCCATCTATCTCATTCTCTCTCTCTTCCATTCTCTCTCTCTCTCTCTCTATATTGCTATCTTACTCTCATTAAGCTATTTTTTTTGTTTGACAAAGTT